CGAGAGAGAAGAAGGATAGAGAGAGAGAGAGGTAGAGCGAGAAGGAGAGTGAGGGAGAGATAAGAAGGATAGATAGAGAGGAGGTAGAGAGAGAAGGAGAGCGAGGGACAGAGAAGGATAGAGAGAGAGAAGGATAGGGAGAGAGAGAGAGAGGTAGAGAGAGAAGGAGAGTGAGGGAGAGATAAGAAGGATAGATAGAGAGGAGGTAGAGAGAGAAGGAGAGCGAGGGACAGAGAAGATAGAGAGAGAAGGATAGGGAGAGAGAGATAGAGGTAAGAGAGAAGGAAGCGAGGAGAGAGAGGAGGGGTACGGAGAGAGAGGGGAATAGTAGAAGGATAGATTGCAGTGGGTATAACCTCCAGTCCCACCCCCCCCCCCCCCCCCCCCCCCCACACACACATCCCCTTGTGTCCTGCAGGTGCAGATCAGATGAAGAATGATCAGTCTCAGCCAGAAGGGGACAGAGAGAGGGGAGCAGGGATCAGTGGTGACTCAGGTGAGGCAGAGGCGTACTGATGATGTCAGAGCAGCAGCCAAATGAGATTCTCCTGAACTAGCAGTAGAGCCACCTGGTACAGGTCCACACAGAATGCAGACGAGTGAATCAGCTACGCAGCTAGATTATATTTCACACAAGAACGTCCTTCTGTTTGTAGAGGTTCTAACAGTAGAACAGGAATGAATCAACCAGTCTGCCACGTAGAGCTAGAGCTCATAGATTCTATTATTCTATTCTATTTCACTCCAGAGGGTTATTCTGTCTGTTCTATTGAACACAAGTAGACACGATAAATATGCCCCTTCTCCCAAGACAATAACAGTCAATAAACATATTACATTTAAGTTGAGTATATCGCCAAATAAGATATTTGAGTATTTCAAATAAGGCATTATTGTGGATGTTATTGTTGAATTTTCTAGAGACTACACTAGAAGAACAGGCTCACATGTCAAGAGCCATGTCTATGTGGTGTCTCTGAAGGCTGCACAACCAACCATAATAGTTCCTACACTATTTCCTAATTACAAAAGCATTAACAAGAAGTTGTATGTCTTGTAACATTGTCTGACCCTTGCTAGAACAGCACTTATTGGCCCTCTCTTGAGCGTCGCTCTCTCCAACCCATAGTTCCTACATCATTGTCTAATTAGAAATGCATTAAGGAGAGGTTGTAAAAGTGTGTACGTCTGACCATCAGAAGAAGAGCTCTTATCGGCCCTCTCTTGATCGCAGTTCTCTCAGCTTCGCCTGACTGCAAGCCAGTCTGGTATTGATTTCTCATTGGTTGATTTGTTTAACCACCCAGAGGCAGTTGTTAATGCCTTGTGAGGGTGTAAATTCTGCCTTAACTGCTGCGTGCTGCTTCGATTGGGCAATTTACTGTTTACAATACCTGCATTTATTGGTTTGTGACTTCAGAGGAATACATTTCAATGCAGGCACTGCATCAAAAAAAAAAGAGTCCAGTTAAAAAAAAAAGAGAAAACTCTACTTTATGGATATTATAAGATGAATCTCGGTTCACCCAAAACTAGTCTTGCGGTCAGCTGCTCGATTAAGTTCTGGGTCCATACAGAAGATGAAGAGATGCTACAATGAGGAGCAGAACTGGAAGAGTAGCTCCGCCCTCTCTCTTTACAAGTTACAGGGTAGCTCCTCCCTCTCTCTTTACAAGTTACAGAGTAGCTCCACCCTCTCTCTTTACAAGTTACAGAGTAGCTCCACCCTCTCTCTTTACAAGTTACAGAGTAGCTCCACCCTCCTCTTTACAAGTTACAGGTAGCTCCTCCCTCCTCTTTATGAGTTACAGGGTAGCTCCTCCTCTCTCTTTATGAGTTACAGGGTAGCCTCCTCTCTTACATTACAGTACCCCTCTCTCTTTAGTTAAAGGTAGCTCCTCCCTCTCTCTTTACAAGTTACAGAGTAGCTCCACCCTCTCTCTTTACAAGTTACAGAGTAGCTCAACCCTCACTCTTTACAAGTTACAGAGTAGCTCCACCCTCACTCTTTACAAGTTACAGAGTAGCTCCACCCTCACTCTTTACAAGTTACAGAGTAACTCTACCCTCACTCTTTACAAGTTACAGAGTAGCTCCACCCTCTCTCTTTACAAGTTACAGAGTAGCTCCACCCTCTCTCTTTACAAGTTACAGAGTAGCTCCACCCTCTCTCTTTACAAGTTACAGAGTAGCTCCACCCTCTCTCTTTACAAGTTACAGAGTAGCTCCACCCTCTCTCTTTACAAGTTACAGGGTAGCTCCTCCCTCTCTCTTTACAAGTTACAGGGTAGCTCCACCCTCTCTCTTTACAAGTTACAGAGTAGCTCCACCCTCTCTCTTTACAAGTTACAGGGTAGCTCCTCCCTCTCTCTTTACAAGTTACAGGGTAGCTCCACCCTCTCTCTTTACAAGTTACAGAGTAGCTCCACCCTCTCTCTTTACAAGTTACAGAGTAGCTCCACCCTCTCTCTTTACAAGTTACAGGGTAGCTCCTCCCTCTCTCTTTATAAGTTACAGGGTAGCTCCTCCCTCTCTCTTTACAAGTTACAGAGTAGCTCCACCCTCTCTCTTTACAAGTTACAGAGTAGCTCCACCCTCTCTCTTTACAAGTTACAGGGTAGCTCCTCCCTCTCTCTTTACAAGTTACAGGGTAGCTCCTCCCTCTCTCTTTACAAGTTACAGAGTAGCTCCACCCTCTCTCTTTACAAGTTACAGAGTAGCTCCACCCTCTCTCTTTACAAGTTACATGGAGCTCCTCCCTCTCTCTTACAGAGCCTTAAACAGTGGTAGCTCCTCCCTCTCTCGTAGATTTTTTCAAGTTACAGTGCAAGCCCCTCCCCTTCCGAAATTTAAAGATGCTTACTACTGGAAATGCCTGTCCCCTCCCCCTATCGTGCCATAGTATAAAGACAGGTCTATGGTACCATTTATGTTTACGTAGTCTGTCCACCAAAGTATGCAGATGAATCGTTCACTGTCGTGATCTTTCGCCACAGTATAATACTGTAATGTGCAGGTAGCCGCTCTTGTGATTCGATTTCCACCAAGACATATACAACAAGTATGAAATAACTGTAATGGACTGAGCCGCTCTTGTTGATTCAATATATATAAAAAAAATAATGTAATAACACAAAGAACATTTTTATACAATCATGACAAATCGGTCAGCTTTAGCAAATCCATTTCCTTTGTACCTCTGCTTTGAATTTGATCTGCAATACTTTAAATAAATATTGATTCTGACATTTTCCTCCATTGACATGCTCCATAACTTCAAAAAGCCTCTTTCCAAGGCAGTCTATGTTGGCTTGTATGTATGCATAAATGTATGTGTGTGTAAGTGTGTGTTTCCCTCTGTATCTGTAATCCCCCGATCCCAAAGGCCACAGTATCCGCCAATGCGGGTGTCAGAATATGCATTTCCATTAAGGACCCCATGTTCCCTGGTCGTCCCTGTGTGGAGTCAGGCTCAACAGGTGAGGAAGCCATGCAGGGGGGATGGGGGGTGGGGGTGGAGGGGAGACAGACAGTCAGCCAGGCAGAGGGAGAGGAGGGAGGCAGGGGAGAGGTGTACATGGGGCTCTGGTGTGGCCGTGTGGTGACAGGCCGTCTGTGTGTGGTGGTGGGGGACGAGCTAGTAGACACACACGTTGGGTAACGTCACAAACACACACACACTCACACAGACGTTGGGTAACAGCAAACCGAAGATATCTCTGTCAGCAGTGCTGGAGATGTGTGTCAACCCTGACCACATAGGATGACCACACAGATTAACAGACCAGGGCTGGACATGTTGCTGCAGTGTGTCTATGTGTCTGTCTGTGTGAGTGTGTGTGTGTTTGTGTGTGTGTGTGTGTGTGTGTGTGTGTGTGTGTGTGTGTGTGTGTGTGTGTATTAGACAGGTCACCCCCCACTGTGCAAAGATGAAGGGTTGAATAATGTTTTATTTGTTGTGTGTTATGATTGTCTGAATAATACCTGCCCTGTCTGTCTAGATTGTAACACCCAGTATTATATCTGAATACATAGATTGACGACAGGTTTAGCTGTGTTTTCATGGCAGTTATATTGATGTCAGTATGTCAATCCTTTTACCACCAAAGGTCAACAAGTACAAAAACATGTTTATTTACCTCTCTGGCTATACAGTCATGTGATGCCCTTGCAGGATATACCTGACCAGGAACAACTCTGGGCCCCAAACTCTGTGTATCATAACCAGAGCTAGGAGTTTTTCCTGGTCAGGCCATTGTGGTCAGGAAAAACGCATGTCCCTAATCATGTCTATTATCATGTCTCATACTTCTGCCTTAAACCTGTGGGACAAATGTAAATGCATCACTAATCACATTAAGTAAGTAAACACATCTTTAGAAATTACTTTCCCAAAACAACAAATTAGCTAACCTTTACAATGATGGTGACTTCTGTCCCTCAGCCTGAGAGAGGGAGATTAGATGTATTAAAAACACCACTGAGTTCATAGAATAGTCTGCTTATTTTCACTATGAGTCCTCCTCCTCTTCCTCATAATCCTCCTCTCCCTCCATCTCCTCTTCTTCATAATCCTCCTCCTCTTCCTCCTCCTCTCCATCCATCCCCATCTTCCTCATAATCCTCCTCCTCCTTCTCCTCCCTCCACCCCATCCTCCTCCTCCTCCTCCTCCTCCTCCCTCCCCTCCGCCTCCTCCCCCTCCTCCTCTTCTCTCCTATCAATGTCCTCTGCATCCCGCCTCCTCCTCCTCCTCTGTGTCCCCATCCGCGTCCTCCTGCCTCCCCTCCTCCTCCTCCTCCTCCCATGCACCCCCCTCTTCCCATATCCTCCTCCTCCTTCCTCCCCCCCATCTTCCTCATAATCCTCCTCCTCCTCCTCCTCCCTGTCCACCCCATCCTCCTCCCCTCCTGCAAGCCCCTTCCTCATAATCCTCCTCCTCCTCTGTGTCCCCATCCGCTTCCTCTCCTCCTCCTCCTCCTCCTCCTGCACCCCCTCTTCCTCATAATCCTCCTCCTCGTTCTCCCTCCACCCCCTCTTCCTCATAATCCTCCTCCTCTCCATCCATCCCCTCTTCCTCATAATCCTCCTCCTCCTTCTCTCCCTCCACCCCATCTTCCTCCTCCTCCTCCTCCTCTTCCTCCTTATCAGTGTCCTCTTCCTCCTCTTCTTCCTCATCAGTGTCCTCACTTTGTAAGGTGGGTTCTGTTTTTGATTTGATCATGTCTAAAACAGTAATGTGGTTTGGGTCCCAGACACAGTTCTCTTGTAAACCACTCTTCACCATGCCACAGTTAGGAGGAACCCAGGCTGAGTCGTAACCTTTGTCATGCCACGTCTTCTGCAAAGGGTGGCCTTTGCAGTCTATTTTTTTCACCTTGCCCACATTGACTTTAACTTTGATGACAACCTTCTGGTGTTCAGGAAGGTCCAGGGGGTATCTACTAGCCTTCTCCAGGTCCCGGCTTAGATACACACCCTGCCCCAACATGCCACGCTTAGACGGATAAAAACCTCTGGCCATGATTTCCTGTGCAGCCCACCAAGAGGTGCCGTGGTACATGATGTAGGTTCTGCCATTCCGTGGCCCTGACAGACCCATTCTTCGTGCCCCAGCAGAAATAGTGAAGTAATCTCCTCCCCACATGGTAAAATCCTCCCCGATTTTAAGAAATTCCCTCTCTGACCACAAATAAATGTGTCAATGCACAATACTGCAGAACTGGATGAGTAAGAAAGGGAAACATTAGTCTGACTGGGTAATGTAAAGAAATAGAAGGAAATAAACTACATTTTATCTATAGTATATCAAAACAGGGTATAAAACAGCTGTCATTTGAAAAGGTTTAGTTGGATAAAATACTCACCAAAAAACATCCAAGTTATTATATTAGTCAGTTCACCTAATGGCAGATCTGTGTTGATCTCTGAAGGAAGGTACAGGTAAAAGTGATTCACCAGACAGATTACTTTACACCAAAGAAAGTTGTTACCAGTAAAAGGAATAGAAGTGATCTGTCTTCCTTTCGTTTTCAATCATACTGGAAAGTCACATGATCAGAGCAGGATGTCTCTTAAATGAAGAAGGGGCAGGCTTAGTTATTTTAACACCACCCCCTCTAGCTCTCAAATGGTTGCCTGGTATTTGCATTCAGCACCCTGGCTAACCCTTCACTGGCTGTATCTGCCTACTGAAGAGACTGGCTTTATGGACTTGTTTTGGGTGGAGTTTTCTTACCAATAAAACTTATCAAGTTAATTTGTCTTGTATCAAGAAGTTCTTGCAATATATTTTTTTATACAAGATTATTCAAACTGGAGGTAAGGTTTTCTCATACACTACAGCCAGCCAGGAATGGGTTTCTCATGGTCATATAAAATGATATTCTTTATAATACACTTGTCAATCAGTGGAGGCTCCTCAGAGGAGGGAGGGGAGGACCATCCTCCTCAGTGAATTTCATAAAAATAGTGAAACATTTAAAAAGTTATCCTTTTTAGATAAAAATATTCTAAATATATTAACATGTCAACAAATAATTGATTAAAACACACTGTTTTGCAATGAAGGTCTACAGTAGCCTCAACAGCACTCTGTAGGCTGGCACAATGGTGTACCTTAAAAAATGAAGGAGAAGCAAGAGAGAGAGAGAGAGATTTCATCATTTTTTTTTTTACTTTCACTTACTTAGCTAGCAAATGCAGGAAGCTAGTTTAGCCTACTCAGACACCCAGCTCAAACAGAGGGATGCTATGTTAGCTAGCTGGCTATGACTATCCAACACAATACTGGAACTCTTCCAAGTCAAGGTAAGCTTTTGGTTTTACTCATTTATTGCCACCGGGCCCGCCGGTGTAACTGCTAAACTGCTCACTGACTGTACACACAGTACTGCATGATTGTAGCAGGTTTACTAATGCCTTAGTTCTATTACAGGGCTTTGCAAAAGCATTCATCCCCCTTGGCGTTTTTTCCTATTTTGTTGCATTATAACCTGTAATTTAAATGGATTTTTATTTGGATTTAATGTAATAGACATACACAAAATAGTCAAAATTGTTGAAGTGAAATGAAAAAAACAATTTTTTTCAAAAAATTCTACAAAATAAATAACGGAAAAGTGGTGCGTGCATATGTATTCACCCCCTTTGCTATGAAGCCCCTAAATAAGAACTGGTGCAACCAATTACCTTCAAGGGTCACATGATTAGTTAAATAAAGTCCACCTGTGTGCAATCTAAGTGTCACATGATCTGTCACATGATCTCAGTATATACAGTGAGGGAAAAAAAGTATTTGATCCCCTGCTGATTTTGTACGTTTGCCCACTGACAAAGACATGATCAGTCTATCATTTTAATGGTAGGTTTATTTGAACACTGAGAGACAGAATAACAACAAAAAAATCCAGAAAGACGCATGTCAAAAATGTTATAAATTGATTTGCATTTTAATGAGGGAAATAAGTATTTGACCCCTCTGCAAAACATGACTTAGTACTTGGTGGCAAAACCCTTGTTGGCAATCACAGAGGTCAGACGTTTCTTGTAGTTGGCCACCAGGTTTGCACACATCTCAGGAGGGATTTTGTCCCACTCCTCTTTGCAGATCTTCTCCAAGTCATGAAGGTTTTGAGGTTGAAGTTTGGCAACTCGAACCTTCAGCTCCCTCCACAGATTTTCTATGGGATTAAGGTCTGGAGACTGGCTAGGCCACTCCAGGACCTTAATGTGCTTGTTCTTGAGCCACTCCTTTGTTGCCTTGACCGTGTGTTTTGGGTCATTGTCATGCTGCAATACCCATCCACAATCCGTTTTCAATGCCCTGGCTGAGGGAAGGAGGTTCTCACCCAAGATTTGACGGTACATGGCCCCGTCCATCGTCCCTTTGATGCGGTGAAGTTGTCCTGTCCCCTTAGCAGAAAAACACCCCCAAAGCATAATGTTTCCACCTCCATGTTTGACGGTGGGGATGGTGTTCTTGGGGTCATAGGCAGCATTCCTCCTCCTCCAAACACGGAGAGTTGACTTGATGCCAAAGAGCTTGATTTTGGTCTCATCTGACCACAACACTTTCACCCAGTTCTCCTCTGAATCATTCAGATGTTCATTGGCAAACTTCAGATGGGCCTGTATATGTGCTTTCTTGAGCAGGGGGACCTTGCAGGGCGCTGCAGGATTTCAGTCATTCACGGCGTAGTGTGTTACCAATTGTTTTCTTGGTGACTATGGTCCCAGCTGCCTTGAGATCATTGACAAGATCCTCCCGTGTAGTTCTGGGCTGATTCCTCACCGTTCTCATGATCATTGCAACTCCACGAGGTGAGATCTTGCATGGAGCCCCAGGCCGAGGGAGATTGACAGGTCTTTTGTGTTTCTTCTATTTGCGAATAATTGCACCAACTGTTGTCACCTTCTCACCAAGCTGCTTGGCGATGGTCTTGTAGCCCATTCCAGCCTTGTATAGGTCTATAATCTTGTCCCTGACATCCTTGGAGAGCTCTTTGGTCTTGGCCATGGTGGAGCTTTTGGAATCTGATTGATTGATTGCTTCTGTGGACAGGTGTCTTTTATACAGGTAACAAACTGAGATTAGGAGCACTCCCTTTAAGAGTGTGCTCCTAATCTCAGCTCGTTACCTGTATAAAAGACACCTGGGAGCCAGAAATCTTTCTGATTGAGAGGGGGTCAAATACTTATTTCCCTCATTAAAATGCAAATCAATTTATAACATTTTTGACATGCGTTTTTCTGGATTTTTTTGTTGTTATTCTGTCTCTCACTGTTCAAATAAACCTACCATTAAAATGATAGACTGATCATTTCTTTGTCAGTGGGCAAACGTACAAAATCAGCAGGGGATCAAATACTTTTTTCCCTCACTGTACATGTCGGTTGTTTTGCTCTAGGACGCCCACAGGCCTCACGAGACTCGTCTGAAGGTCCCCCGGAACCAGTTGAAAACATTAATGGAAGTATATATGGAGACTGTTTAGTGACAAAAATATGGGGTTAAATACATGTACAAAAAAAAAAAATATATATATATATATATATAAATACAGTACCAGTAAAATGTTTGGACACACCTACTCATTCAAGGGTTTTTCTTTATTTTTACTGTTTTCTACAAACTATGAAATAACACATATGGAATCACGTAGTAAACAAAAAAGTGTTAAACAAATCAAAATATATTTTATATTTGAGATTCTTCAAAGTAGCCACCCTTTGCCTTGATGACAGCTTTGCACACTCTTGACATTCTCTCAACCAGCTTCATGTGGTAGTCACCTGGAATGTGGAATTTCTTTCCTTCTTAAACACTTTTTTGTTTACTACATGATTCCATATGTGTTATTTCATAGTTTTGATGTCTTCACTATTATTCTAGAATGTAGAAAATGAATGAGTAGGTGTGTCAACTTTTGACTGGTACTGTATATATATTTATTATGCCTCTCAGATAGAACAGACACTTGGGACTATATGTTGTTCCATGTAGTGAATCTGTTATTCAATGTGTTTGTATGGGCGGGCTAATAGCAGTAAGGCCAAATAAAATATTTCATCAAATAATTTGTGTATGTTTTTTAGGAAAACTTCAAGGGGTCTTAAAATTCCAAATTAAAGTGCAAATATAACTTTCTCCTCCTACACAATCATGTTATGCAGACTTCTTTCAACCTATATAATGTATGATTAATGTGACCTGATCAGGAACAACTCAGGTGATAAGCGGTCAGGAAAAAACCTGGCCCTAATCATGTCTATTATCATGTCTCACACTTCTGCCTTAAACCAGTGGGACAAATATAAATTAATCACTAATGCCATTAAATAAATAAAACATCTTTAGAAATAACTTTCCCCAAAAAACAAATTAGCCATGGTTTACAATGATGGTGCCTTCTGTCCCTCAGCCTGAGAAAGGGAGAGTATATGTGTTAAAGACATATAATAGTCTGCTTATCTTCACTATGAGTCCTCCTCCTCCCCTTCCTCGTAATCCTCCTCTTCCTCGTAAACCTCCTCATCTTCCTCATCCTCTTCCTCCTCCTCCTCATCTTCCTCCTCCCCTCATATTTCCTAATCCTCATTCTCTTTCCTTCCCCTTTCTCCCCTCCTCCCTGCCTCTCCTTCCTCCTCCTCTCCCTTCAACCCCTCTTCCTCATAATCCTCATTCTGTTCTGCCGCCTCCTGAATTGGCCATGCAGAATTTGAATTTCATTTGAATTAAAGGAAGTAAAATTGAATTAAAAAAAAAATATATATATATATATACACTGCTCAAAAAAATAAAGGGAACACTTAAACAACACAATGTAACTCCAAGTCAATCACACTTCTGTGAAATCAAACTGTCCACTTAGGAAGCAACACTGATTGACAATACATTTCACATGCTGTTGTGCAAATGGCATAGACAACATGTGGAAATTATAGGCAATTAGCAAGACATAAAGGACTGGTTTTGCAGGTGGTGACCACAGACCACTTCTCAGTTCCTATGCTTCCTGGCTGATGTTTTGGTCACTTTTGAATGCTGGCGGTGCTTTCACTCTAGTGGTAGCATGAGACGGAGTCTACAACCCACACAAGTGGCTCAGGTAGTGCAGCTCATCCAGGATGGCACATCAATGCGAGCTATGGCAAGAAGGTTTGCTGTGTCTGTCAGCGTAGTGTCCAGAACATGGAGGCGCTACCAGGAGACAGGCCAGTACATCAGGAGACGTGGAGGAGGTCGTAGGAGGGCAACAACCCAGCAGCAGGACTGCTACCTCTGCCTTTGTGCAAGGAGGAGCAGGAGGAGCACTGCCAGAGCCCTGCAAAATGACCTCCAGCAGGCCACAAATGTGCATGTGTCTGCTCAAACGGTCAGAAACAGACTCCATGAGGGTGGTATGAGGGCCCGACATCCACAGGTGGGGGTTGTGCTTACAGCCCAACACCGTGCAGGACGTTTGGCATTTGCCAGAGAACACCAAGATTGGCAAATTCGCCACTGGCGCCCTGTGCTCTTCACATATGAAAGCAGGTTCACACTGAGCACATGTGACAGAGTCTGGAGACGCCGTGGAGAACGTTCTGCTGCCTGCAACATCCTCCAGCATGACCGGTTTGGCGGTGGGTCAGTCATGGGTGGCATTTCTTTGGGGGGCCGCACAGCCCTCCATGTGCTCGCCAGAGGTAGCCTGACTGCCATTAGGTACCGAGATGAGATCCTCAGACCCCTTGTGAGACCATATGCTGGTGCGGTTGGCCCTGGGTTCCTCCTAATGCAAGACAATGCTAGACCTCATGTGGCTGGAGTGTGTCAGCAATTCCTGCAAGAGGAAGGCATTGATGCTATGGACTGGCCCGCCCGTTCCCCAGACCTGAATCCAATTGAGCACATCTGGGACATCATGTCTCGCTCCATCCACCAACGCCACGTTGCACCACAGACTGTCCAGGAGTTGGCGGATGCTTTAGTCCAGGTCTGAGAGGAGATCCCTCAGGAGACCATCCGCCACCTCATCAGGAGCATGCCCAGGCATTGTAGGGAGGCATGCACTCCAGGAGGGTCCAGGATGCCGATGCTTGTCAGGTTGTGGCCACGCCACTAATCACTTGAGCGCCAAACCTTGTAATGCTTTAGAAGCACGTACTAGGCCACACACACACTACGGGACCTCATTTAGACTTGTTTTAAGGACATTACATCAAAGTTGGATCAGCCTGTAGTGTGGTTTTCCACTTTAATTTTGAGGGTGACTCCAAATCCAGACCTCCATGGGTTGATACATTTGATTTCCATTGATAATTTTTGTTGTGATTTGTTGTCAGCACATTCAACTATGTAAAGAAAAAAGTATTTAATAAGATTATTTCATTCATTCAGATCTAGGATGTGTTATTTTAGTGTTCCCTTTATTTTTTTGAGCAGTGTATATATATTTGACATCTTTTAATCATAATCAAGCTAATATGTGACGGCCAATCCCAACTGGGATTTATGCTGAAAAATCAGAAATGCTTGTTTTTACAGATTACAAAAGTTCAGATTCAGTAGAAGAAAAAGACCCTTGAAAGATTTTGTTGAATGTTGCAAAGGTCTTCTTTGTTCAGGAGAGTCTCATTTCAGACAAGCACACCTCTCCTCAATTACCTTTGAACTCTTTCAAAAGGAAGCGAGAGGATGTGGGAGAAAGGACGCAGGATGTGAGCTAATCTAATTAATACATCTTCATTCTCTTCCTCCTCCTCCTCTCCTTCTACACCCTTTTCTTCAAAATCCTCTTCCTCCTCTTCTTCCTCATCAGTGTCCTCACTTTGTAAGGTGGGTTCCGTTTTTTAAAACAGTAATACGGTTTGGGTCCCAGTCACAGGTCTCTTCTAAACCATCCTTCAAGGTCACTGTTAGGGGGAACCCAGGCTGAGTCATTACCCTCGTCATGCCACCTCTTCTGCAAAGGGTGGCATTGGCGGTCAATTTTTTTCACCTTGCCCACATTAACTTTAACTCTGATAACAACCTTCTGGTGTTCAGGGAGGTCCAGAGGGTATCTACTAGCCTTCTCCAGGTCTCGGCTTAGATACACAACCTGCCCCAACATGCCACGCTTAGACGGACAAAAACCTCTGGTCAGGATGTTGCATACAATTTTCTCAGAGGTGCCGTGGTATATTTTGTAGACCCTGACATTCTGTAGCGTGATAAGCGTACATGTTTATTAAACGAATAAACACACGACAAAACAACAAACAAACGATACGTACCGTCTTAAGGTACGCACAACAAACCTATACGGCACAAGATCCCACAACTAACAGGTGCCAAAAGGCTGCCTAAGTATGGTCCCCAATCAGAGACAACGAGCGACAGCTGCCTCTGATTGGGAACCACACAGGCCAACATAGATCTAGACATACTAGAATCTAACAGACAATCAACATAGCCAAACACAACACAGAAAATACACACCCTGACTCAACAAATACAAGTCCCTTGAGTCAGGGCGTGACAGGAAGTCCCTCTCTGACCACAAATAAGTGCGTCAATGAACAATCCTGCAGAACTGGATGAGTGAGAAAGGGGAAAATCTAAATCTGACTAGGTAATGTAAATAAATAGAAGGAAATAAACTACATTTTATATCAAAACAGAATGAAAGGGGTATAAAACAGCTGTAATTTGAAAAGGTTTAGTTGGATAAAATACTCACCAAAAAACATCCAAGTTATATGGTTATATATTAGTCAGTTCACCTAATGGCAGATATGTGTTGATCTCTGAAGGGAGGTACAGGTAAAAGTGATTCACCAGACAGATTACACAATAGAAGTTATATGTCTTCCTTTGTTTTTCAATCATACAGGAAATCAAATGATCAGAGCAGAATGTCTCCTGGCCATATAAGGTAAGAAGGGGCAGATTTAGTTATTAGAGTTTACATCACTCTTTCTCTCTCTCTCAAATGGCTGCCTGGTATTTGCATTCAGCACCCGACTCACCCTTCACTGGCTGTATCTGCCTACTGAAGTGACTGGCTTTATGGACAACCATAACTTGCACAAACCACTTTTTAAAAACGTTTTGTTTGTATTAAGTGAAAATGTAATGTAATGTTTCTAATAATACAGGATGCCACATGTCTCAGTGATAAAGGAGGGTATGACAGGGCTGTTTTCTCTGGGGAACAACACGTAGACTCTGTCTTTTAACCAGAACTAAAGCTGTGTATTGCAACCAGGGTACAGAGTTTTTCAACAGACTAAGGCCCAAATGATGCATACTGTGTAGTCCCCATACTGTTCCAGGCAGGGTTGTGTTTCAGTATGCAGCCAGCCCTGCCCACTGCGTCTCTCCATAAAGGAGGTGTCAAATGTCCTCTGCAGTAGCTACAGTACTACTGTTAACTGGTACAGGATCTCTGCGAACCGCTACTGTGTGTGTGTGATTGTGTGTGTGCATGTGTGTGTGTGTGTAAGAGTGAGTGTGGGGTTGTGTGCGTGTTTGTGCGTGTGCATGTGTGTGTGTGCTTGCGTGCATGTGTGTAAAAGATACTCATGAATGTGTGTGTTCTCAAATTTGTATGTGTCTTCCCTCACACAGAAGGACTTCTACTCCCTAGGGGATGCATCGTTGGAGGATCGAAGGAAGACCCACACCCAGAATTAACATTAACAAGAGTTCAACTAGAATATAGGAGGCAAGTCACACTCTGTTCAACTCCAATTCTTTATAATTTCAGCACCACACGCTTGTCTGTTACGGTGTTGATTCCAATGAAGCATCCTCCTTAACACCAACTCCTATCAGGCCTTTGTATGGTCTTAAAGTGCTCTTTCCACAATGAGGTAACGTCTTAGAAAGAGAAAAACTGTCTAGTCCTAATGGTGCCTATTGTCCCCCGGAGCCACTGGGGAGATGGACAATACTCTACCCTCATATGGCTTTTAGACAGAATATAAATATGCCTCTGAGGTGAACAAAAGTCACCTTTCACAAGTCTCCCACACCGTATTAATCAGTTTAAGATCATTACGTAAAGGGGAATAATCCATCTTAATGGAACCGGGCAGATCACAGGAGCATATGGGTTGGTGTTACCGTGGGAAAATAGGAAAGTGTGTGTGTCTGTGTGTGTGTGTGTGTGTGTGTGTGTGTGTGTGTGTGTGTGTGTGTGTGTGTGCATTTAGCAGTATTAGGCTGGAGCTGAAGCTGGAGCTGGATCTTTCATATGGCCCGATGGTATAACTGACTGGACCAATGTTGTTAGTCACTGGACAGTGGGTTGGAGAAGGATCAGAGGTTATAAGAGCTGGACAGTGGGTTGGAGAAGGATCAGAGGTTATAAGAGCTGGACATTTGGTTGGAGAAGGATCAGAGGTTATAAGAGCTGGACAGTTGGTTGGAGAAGGATCAGAGGTTATAAGAGCTGGACAGATGGTTGGAGAAGGATCAGAGGTTATAAGAGCTGGACAGTTGGTTGGAGAAGGATCAGAGGTTATAAGAGCTGGGACAAGATGGGTTGGAGAAGGATCAGAGGTTATAAGAGCTGGAAATTGGTTGGAGAAGGAAATCAGAAGGTTATAAGAGCTGGACAGATGTTTGGAGAAGGATCAGAGGTTATAAGAGCTGGACAGTTGGTTGGAGAAGGATCAGAGGTTATAAGAGCTGGACAGTAGGCCTCCAGTATCTATGCTGCAATAGTCTATGTACCGGGGGGCTAGGGTCAGTCTGTTATATCTGGTGTTATTCTCCTGTCTTATCCGGTGTCCTGTGTGAATTTAAGAATGCTCCCTCTAATTCTCTCTCTCTCCCTCCCCTCCCGGAGGACCTGAGCCCTAGGACCATGCCTCAGGAATACCTGGCCTGATGACTCCTTGCTGTCCCCAGTCCACCTGGTCGTGCTGCTGCTCCAGTTTCCACTCTTCTGCCTGCGGCTATGGAACACTGACCTGTTCACCGGACGTGCTACCTTGTCCCAGACCTACTGTTTTCAACTCTCTCTCTCTACCGCACCTGCTATTTCAACCTCTAAATGCCCGGCTATGAAAAGCCAAGTGACATTTACTCCTGATGTACTGACCTGTTGCAACCTCTACAACCACTGTGATTATTATTTGACCCTGCTGGTCATCTATGAACATTTGAACATCTTGGAGAAAAATCTGGCCTTAATGGCCATGTACTGTTATAATCTCCACTCGGCACAGCCAGAAGGGGACTGGCCACCCCTCAGAGCCTGGTTCCTCTCTAGGTTTCTGCCTTTCTACATCTGCATTGCTTGCTGTTTGGGGTTTTAGGCTGGGTTTCTGTATAGCACTTTGTGACATCTGTTGATGTAAAAAGGGCTTTATAAATAACATTTGATTGATTGATTGATTGAAAATTTGATTGAGAAGGACCAGAGGTTATAAGAGCTGGGTTGAAATTCTGTGCTGTGAGTGAGATAATGTTTACTGTGTGGGTTGATGTGGCATGAGGGTGATTTTAGTAGATGGAAGTATTTGTGTGATTGCTGGTATCAGAGATGTAGTGTGTTCATGTGTGGAGATGTGAGATGTCAGTTGGGGTCTCAGGGTGTGAATATATGCATGCTTGAGTACGTGTGTGTGTGTGTCACTATCTGTGTGTGTAAACACATCACGTCAGCAGGGGTGTTCCATGTTGTTCCTCTGATGTCACAATCCGTTCCCCACTGTGATGCTATTGCAGCACCATTCTGCAGACAGGGTACTGATTGGACCAGCAGCCTCTCTCCCACTACACCCCTCAGGGACTGGATGGGCTGATATGCTCACTGTGCCTCAAAACTGTCCTCGGGACATTGTGTTCCCATTCGCAGATAGCTTGCAGATTCCTACACACACACACACACACACGCACACTCACACAGCCACGGGCATATGGACACACACACACAGAAATCTTTCAGTGAGGCTTGCCTTGCCTACCTGCAGAGAAACCCAATAGATAACTGTATGTATTATCATGTGTTAGTGTATCCTCTGCATCCTCTGTTGTCATTGTTCTAAATTGCATGTGAGAGTGAAAGCCCATCTGTCTGGAAAATCTTAATGTCTGCAAAATATGAAATATGAAAATGATCCCCTCTTGCGCTGCTGTGAACACAAAATATCAATAGTTTGTCTGTGAGAAGAGCCAACGATGCATTTAGCCTACACACACACACACACACACACTGATGTTTGGCAATGTTAGAAAACAGTTTATAACATATTCAGTTCCTGCGGCGGTAAGAAGTAAGAATTCAACAAATAAATAACATCAAAAGATTAACATGAAAGCAAGTACTAATTAAAACAGCTATTGGAAGTATCTAGAAAAGACACATCTCTAAACAACAGAACGCTGTGTCTCAACTGTCCTCTCCTCCTGTTCAGTCCAAAGCCATTAGCTGTGTTTCCCCCCTCCTTTCCCTCCATCCTTCCATACCCCTGTTTTGGTTTATTTGCTTGATTTATATCCAATGCATTGGTTTTGCATCCATACTTCTCATTAAAACCATCCAAGCCCCAATATAATGACTCCCTGCATTTAAAATGGCCATCAATTATCACCGCCGTAACCTCATTAGTGATTCCGGCCACACACACGTTGGGCCGGGCGCTGTCTCTGAGGCGGTGTGTGTGTGTTTGTGTGTGTGTGTGTCTCAGACAGAATGTTGGCAGGTCCGTTCCCCTAACGAGGAAAAAAGTGCAAAGTCATAGAGGGAACGAGAGAACGCCGCCTCACCCCTCCCTCTCTCTGTATCTCTCTTTCGATCTTGCTCTCTCTCCTCCATCTCCCTCCATAATCTGGATCTCCTCTCTTTCTTTTCCTCACCCACCTATCTCTTACTCTTTTTCTATTATTTCCCTCTCTCTCTCTCTCTCTCTCTCTCTCTCTCTCTCTATTCTATCAGTTATCGGTCTCGTATCTCTCTCTTTTCTCTCGTTCTCGCTTCGTTCCCTCTCTATCCTACTCGATTCTATAGATATATGGACTCTCAGAGATGCTATCGATCGATTCGCGAGAGTGCTCGATAGGTCTTCTTTATCTAATAGTCGTCTTCCTCTTCGCTAGGTCTCGAGATTGTATCCAGAC